TCTGTCTGTTAGGAAGGAAATTCCGCAGAATGGCTCTTTTATCTAATCTATTTCATCTAATTGCAACTTTATTTGCAATTGGAAAACCCCAGTTTGCGTCTATCAAAGAAGTACATAAAAAWATACACAGGATCGAAATATGGCGACCAATTTGAATAACGATTGTTCTGCACCGACTATAGCCTGCCGACACTAAAAACGTCTGCACGGCAGGCAGCACCGACTAGCGACTGACTAGCCTTATGGTCACGTGGAAACAAGAGCGTTTTCACATGTATCCGACTGGGCGGTGAACGCGTCGCGCAAAGCAAAAGTGGCAGTAAAGTGAAATTGCTTCCTTTCCATATTTCAGTTTCTCGTAGGCACGTCTATTATAWTTTAGTCAAAAGAAAACTGAAAAATACGCAAAAGCTGGGTTAGAGTACCCTAGGAATGAGGGCCGGAGGCGAAACAGATAAACGCGCTGTGATTTGCTGAAACAAAATYCACCGCTCAGCTGGATGAAAKGCTAGTCAGKGCAGAGCAACMKTTTATCAAATTKGTGTATGTAACAATACTTACCGACTTGTATTTMGATACAAACTCCTCATTTTCCTTTTTAACCAACGTAACCTTAATAGTAGCCAAAGCATTGTCTTTGTGGTTTTGTTTTTCCTCTGACATCTTCCGACTCCTTTCCTCCACCTCAATACTCCCTTCTTCAGTAAGACTAACACTTGGCAACGACGGCGACTTTTCATGCTTCAAAGGCCGCAGAGGCGATAACGTACGGAACGGAATACCTTTATGAACTGGGGACTCGGGAAAGTACGATGGCAGAGAAGTYGATAAATCAGAGTTCAATCCACACTCCGATACAGTGGGACATGATGTTGATAAAACTGAAGTGCGCGCACAGATCGAACGATGGAGGTTTTTAGATTGTGATGCTAGTGACGAAGACATTAAATAGGAGTATGAAGAATCGGGGCTTTGTAGCAAATCCTGTACGAGTAGCCCACCTAGATATACGTCGAACACAGTGACAGTAGGGTTCGTACTTTCRAAGTTCATGTAAAAATCATGAAACATTATATCTACGATTTCGTGTTCAACACCTTTGAGTTCTCCGCAGAGTTTGACGCTAAAATGCGGTACAGTTATGTTCGCTCGKGCTGGTGTATTGTCATCATCGACGTCTGTGTGTTCCTCATTTGGGCTTTTAACCTTGCGTAAAGGTGTTTCTGGAGCAAATGTTACTCGTCTTGAGGTAACGCCCTGGTCAGTCAGCAGTGATTGAAGATTAGATGATGACGACCTGGTGTGGTAAACATGAAACTATTTAATTTCCCTGCTGACAGTCTCCTTTGATTTTCATTTTGTTGGATGTTTTATCTCTCTCCTCGGAGGAAAAAATAAATAAAAGGAAAGAAAAAGAAGGAAAAGAAAAAATCCTGAAAACACAAGACTGATACGTAGAATAATGTATGGTGAAATAAAAGAAATTCTAAAATACTRAAATATAGAAGYTAAATASACCTCTTGYCTGAMCTATTTGAATTGCCCTATTTCATRATGACGTCACATCAAAACAACYGTTTTTAACGCTAGGGATCATGGTCGCTAGAGGGGGATGGAACGACAACAACACATCTTAAATCAGTGTGAAATTTGATTTATGAACTAAATATTACACTAAATAGCTCGAGAGAAGA